AGTGGGGATGGAAAAGGGAAATCTTGCGCTGTTGTCAGACGTCAAGCTGGTCTGATGGGCTGAATGGTTGGCTGACGGGCGGTTAATGAACTCGGTAACCCTCTACGGGTTGGTTCGGTTGTCTCTTCGGGATGACGGCTTTTGGTATACCTACCTATCAAGGGGGGGGGGGGGGGTTGTAAGGTTCTAGGCTGTGTCTGGGGGGGCTGGGCCGGGCAAGGGGGAAAGGTGGAAAGGTGCGGTCGGGAGACACGTCGTGTGACGTGATATGCGTGGTGAGCCATGCTTTTTTCTACCTGTCAGAACGGTTTGTTGGAGATGTCGGCGATAGACAGGGGACATGAATGGCATGATAATAACACCGAGATGTAATGGAGGCGTGGACGGGGAGACGGGCATGCGCGAGGGCATTGATCCACGCTTATAACGTAAGACTACGTTTGGTGGTGTTCTGGCCAGATCTTGATGAATGACGGGTAGGTAGATAACACTTTCGTTGGTGGACAAGAGGCACAGTATCTCAAGGGAAAGCCGGCCTGCTTCCAGGTATTATACACGGTAGGAGATAAAATGATTTGACCACAAGCCAAGTAACCTGATGCAATGGGGTAACCTGACAATTTCCAATAACAGTACCTCAACAGTCTTTTTGGAAGCCTGGCGAGTAGCGTTTAATGATGGTGATTTACATATCGGGTATAGCTATGAATGCTAGGCTAGCAAATAATGAGAGATATCGTTTCAAAAACAATGAATCAAGAAGATGATAAAATAAAAATACAAGGCATTGGTAGTAGGTCGTCGTCATCTCATCCACCCTTACATCCTCCAGTTCTAGTTCTCAACAAACAAACTTGTTTTCGGCCACATTTCGCGTCACTCAGATCATCCCCGATATCCATACCCCCCTCCTGGCCCGTGGCCTCCACCTCCATACCCCATACCACCTCCTCCGTATGGGTTGGGTTGCGAATGGTACACCGTACCATTGACTGAGATTGGTAGCCTTGGCTGCCTGCTTTCCCGGTTGTTGCTGCGGAAGTAGGAGCTATCATTGCTACCATCACGGGTATGTTGCGGCTGGGTAGGGGGCGGCGTGTATCTTGACGAAGCCGAAGACACGGGACGAGTCAGGGACTGCTTCGTGTCAACAGTGCCCAGGGGAGCACCCGTCTTGAGCAGGGAGAAGGAGTCGGTAAGATCAGACTGCGCCGTCTTCTCACGGTCGAGAAGGAGAGAGTTGCGCGCATCCAGTGGGGTGAGGGTGTCACGTTGCATTTTTTCTGGGGAGCCATGTTAGCAAGATCTCGATCCTGAGAGGGGTAGATAAGAAATGACATACCCATCTCCTTTCTTCTCTGTCTGTGCGGGTTCTTCTTGCAGCAGGCACTGATCGCGTTCCAGGCAATCAGAATGGCGAGGATGCCCGTCAGAGCAGACTGCACAGCGATCAAGACGACACCGGCCACAGTCTGGGTGGTTTGGGCGATGCCGAATTGCTCAACAAAGACAAAGATGCAGACAACCGAGAGAACGCGGACAACCTGAATGGTGATGTTGATCACGTTGCTCGACTTGCGCTCGTAGGGGCGACTCCAGATCAGAACGATGAGCATGACGCCCTCGATGATGAGCTGGGCAGACGTCTGAACCATGCCATTGCCGTCAGTGGCAGCCAGAGCGAAACCCTTGGCAAACATGTAAATGATGGTGGGCACGAAAATCCACCAGCAGCCCTTGCGATAGGACTCGTAGAACAAGCTGTACTTGACCCAGATGCTCTTGTCGTCGTACAACCCTGCAACGTCGCCCTCCTGCTTCTTGAGTCTCCGGGCTGTGCGCCAGATGTTGAAGGAGAAAAAGGCAAGAATGCCGGTGAAGAGGAAGAGGGTGATACCAGCCAGGGTCTTGGCCGCCCAGGAGTCTCCGTTGGTAAATTGAAAGACGCAGTACAGAACCCACACGCCATAGAGCAGAAGAATCAAGTGAGTGATGGCGCGGCCAATGGAGCCCCAGTAATGCTTGCGGAAGCCAGATAATGACTTTGGGAAGCTGCCGAAGAGAGCCCAGAACTCGAGAATGATCTTGACGAGGAGGACACCCACAACGATGACGGCGATGACAAGAGCCACAATGAGGAGTACAGTCATGAAGGTGTTGGACTTGGGGACGGAGAGCTCCTGGACGTAGGCTTGCATGCCGGTGACAGCCACGCGGATAGTCTCGGTGGGAGCACCACCTTCGGGCACAACACCGGGCTCGGTGGTGTTGACGCTGGTCTCGATACCCTCGATCTGACGTCTGGCAAGGTGAACAAAGTTGTCGAATGCCCTCTTCACGAGAGCCGAGCCGGAAGGTGTCGAGGACGAACCATCCGGGTACACCAAAGTAGCGCCTCTCAAGAACTCGACGCTGTCTTCTGTCAAGTTGCCTCCAGTCATGTTGCGGAACTGATCGATGGAAAGCTGCATCTGTGTCCAGGGCACGAGACCGGTCGAGAAGCCGAAATTCTGGGAGAAGCTTCGGTAAACGTTGGGGTAGTTGACCGACATCATACCGTTCATGGCCATGCCCTGAAACCAGCCAAAGACCTCGGTGAAGCTGGGGCTGATAGTCCCCATACCACCAGCACTCGCACCGCTTGCCGCAGCACTGGCACCTGAGAAGGCCGCTCCAGCAGCAGAGATGCCGCTCATGATCAAAGCAGCCCCAGCAACACCAGCAGCAACGTAGGAAACGGCAGGGACAACGGCAGTCTTGCCGTTGCTCACCTGAGCCTCCAGACACGCTACCCTCTCACCGGACTCCTTGGACTGAAGCTGCAACGTAGCCATGGCCGCAATATCGGGAATCTGAAACGCGATAGCTGGAACCAAGTTGGCAAACTCCTCGGGAATATTTTGCGTGCCCTTGGCGGAAAAAGTGCCCGCGGGAACGGGGCACAACTGGTCAACAAATGTGGCGGCATCGCAGGGATCGAAAGCGTTCGAGTAGATGTTCTGACCGTAAGCCGTGACGTTCAAGACGGCTGTGACATTCTGAATCTGCGAGCTCGAGCCGGCCACATCGAAGGTTACTGATTTGTCCTCGTTGTTGTACTTGATGTTGACCCTTTGTACCGAAACTGCAGCAGTGCCGTTGCAGTTGCTGAATCCTACTGTCTCGAGAATATCCGCGCCGAGTACTCCATTCGCCAGAGCCAAACCGGCCAAACCTGCCCTAAAAATCCACGTCTTCATCGTTTCCCTTTTTTCTTTTCAAGTCGTTTAATGAAATGTTGGTACAAATGATCGAATGAAAAATCGTGTGCAGCGAGTGCTCTGTCGTCGGTATATCTTCCTTATCCGCCCTTCTAGTTTTGCTGAATGTCCAGTTCGCAACTGCTTCTCTCTTCTTCGATATATCGTCCCCTTCACGTCTGAGATCTAGTCAATAGGGTTTGATATGTAAATTCCTCGAAACCGGTCCGGAATAAGTTAAGAATCGAAGAAGTGAAAATCGTGGTAGTCTAAAAGAGAGGCATTCAAAATAACTGGCCAAGGATCAACCTGGAAAGAATGAAAAGATGGTGAGGAGAAAAGAAAGAAAGAGGGCAAACAAGTTGCCCCTCGAGGAGGGAGAACTGTGAAAGTGAAGCTGTTTTCAACACAAGTGTCGATATACGGTTGTTGGCCCAAAAAGCCAGAAATGGGGAAACGAAAGAAGGCCAGAAAGAGGGAAAAGCGAGAGACGGCTTGTTGATAGGGATCAAAATGGATCAACAGGGGGGGGGAGACATGAAGGAGACGGGACCCAGCGGGTATCTGAAACGGGACTGGAGAAAGCTGCCCTGGCGATGGGCAAAAAAAAACAGACAAAAGCAATCCCTAGCTTCAGGGCGAATTCTTGACAGGTTCTGTTGTCGAATGGGACTACATCCTGCTGGCAGGTGTCAAGTTCTACTGGCCTCGTCACGAACACCCGAGCAATTCGGCGATCCCTTGACCAGTCGATTGACTCCGGAGGTCTCCTGGGCCTCGACGACGGGCTGTGGAGGAGGCGAAGGAGGGGAGCGAACGGGGAGAACCGAGGGTGCGGGTCGAGGACTGGAGGCCATCTGAAACCTTAGCGGCAAAGGGGCGCTGGGTGGAAGACCCCTGCACAGTGCTTTGCAACCTCTTGGGCGGCTCTGCGGCGGGCAATTGGCTACCGATTGGCTGTGGGAGTCCGAAAGTTGTTTTAGCGATAGCGTCTCTGGTACATTTTTACGATGCATGAAACTTTGAAGTGGGCGAAAAGAACTGATGTCAACACCCGCTGTCATGTCCTGGTAGTGTAGTGTTCAAGACTTGATATTGACGGAAGCGCGTGGCAGATTCGACAGCCCTGCGGTATTCCTGGGACGACATATGTCTTCGTGAACTGGCATGTTGTCTGCCCTTGACAACTTCCTCCAGAGGCATTCCCAAGACGGTCAGCTTGTTTCAACACGTGGAAAAAGAATCCTTTGCTTACTTTCTCCCGACAAAAGTATTGTGCATCATAGCCTGTACTCCCCGAGATCCCCCCTGACCCCTTGACCCCGCAGCGAACAACAAAAGTGCAGGAATTCTCGAATCCAAAGTGCATCAGACTTTGACATCTCAGCCAACGATACGACTTCATCCGAAGTGGGAAACCCTGGGCACCCAGAGAGGGGATCGCCTGTCCCGTGCACAGCCATCATTCATGCATTAATGCATCGACTTGAACGCTGCTTGGGTAGGTGGTACCGACTTCGGTTGGCCAACTGTGCTTCATATTCAGATGTGAGCTGGCTTGAGCTGCTTTCTCTGTTGAGTCAAAGTCGAAATGTTCTTCCTCAAAGTTGGGTCAAGTTCCACAAAGCCATCGAGTAACACCGTCATTCTCCAGAAAAAGACTTGAGTAAGAACACAAGAAATGTCAAGTGTACAAATAGAGGCGAAAGACACTTGATTGGGGTGTTGGAAAGATGTTGTGCAACTTCAAATTTGAAGAATCAAGAGATCACATCTAGGACAGTAACTCCATAATCTTTTGGCACTGTAAACGAGGGCCTTTGGTACGGGGTTGCCCACACATGCCTGAGGGGCATCACAGTGCGCAAACTTTGGGCGCTGACAACCAATGACCTCACTCTCCCAATTGTATGAACAGCACCTAATGATCAATCATCAAGCAACCACACCAACGACCAACTCGGCCTGTTACACGATACATCGAGTCGTGTGATATCAAATTGACTACTTCTATTCTTGCTGACGGTCTGTACCACTGAGATTTGACATTCTTTTGCTTGGCGCCATTCATCGTGAACCATCAAAGCCCCGGCCGAGAAAAAAGAATACAAGGGAAACCCCACCAGGAAGGAGGAGGTGGAAGGGGAACAAGGCTTGTATCAACCGTCTGGGAAGAGACAGATCATGAGCGAGTTGCAGAAGAAGTGGGCAAAAGCAAGACTTTCCAACACGATGCAAGCGCACGCCTACGCACCAAGCCAAGCCATGGGGACCACGGCAATGCCAATCCCAGCAACGACATTACAGCCACCCGTTGGTCTTCCCGACTTCAATGAGCTGGATGAAGAAGATGAAGACCAGTTTGGATCTCTCTCATCTATTCCAAACCACCCACAAGATGACGACTCCTCGTCAGCATCTTCAGTCTCATCAACAGGCACAGTAATCCCATCACCGGGTAGAGCTCTGTTTGCAAGGCCACAAGGGTATGTTCACCCTAACTCACCCATTCTGATATCAACTTCTAATTAACACCCTCCTCAGAGTTCCAACCCGCTCGTCCTTAGACCCAATCCCCTGGACAACGTACTTTGAACGTGAACTCTCCCTCCTCTCAACAGACGGGACCATAACCTACCACGTCTACCTCACCTCCCCTGATCCCCCTACCCCTTCAACCACCAACAACCCAGCACCAGGAGCCAAACCATCCACCGGCGGCCCCCTCTTCGTAACCCACCACGGCGCCGGCTCCTCCGCCCTCTCCTTCGCCGTCCTCGGCTCTGAAATTCGCAAACGTCTCCCCTCAGCCGGCATCCTCTCCCTCGACGCCCGCGGCCACGGCCTAACAACCATCACCTCCCCCAGCCCCAACGAACCAACCGACCTCTCCCTCGGTACTCTATCCCAAGACCTCTGCAATGCAATCCTCCTCACGGCCAAAGCCATGTCCTGGCCTGACATTCCCCCTCTCATCCTAGTAGGCCATTCTCTAGGCGGAGCCGTCGTCACCGAACTCGCCTACCAACCCCTTCTTCCCCCTTCAGTTTCCCTACTGGGATACGCAGTACTCGATGTTGTCGAAGGCTCAGCCCTAGACGCCTTGCAGTCAATGCAGACATACCTCAGCACCCGGCCACAGGGGTTTCATTCATTAAAGGAAGGCATAGAATGGCATGTTAGGTCACGAACAATAAGAAATAGCGTCAGTGCGAGGGTTAGTGTCCCTGCTTTATTAGTCGATACCACCACCACAGCCACACAACCACAGCAACAGCCACCCTCAACGAAGGTGTCAAAACCGTGGAAATGGCGGACGGATCTTAGTTCTACCCAGCCGTTTTGGCAAGGGTGGTTTGTGGGATTGAGCAAGAAGTTTTTGGGGCAAGGGGCGACGGGGTTGGGGAAGGGGGCGGGGAAGATGTTGCTTTTGGCGGGGACGGATAGGTTGGATACCGAGTTGACTATTGGGCAGATGCAGGGTGTGTTTTACCTTTCTATACGTGAGAAATGAGAGGTGATGGTTGCTGACAGAAACAAAAATAGGGAAATATGCTCTCCAGGTGTTTCCTGAGGCGGGGCACTTTATTCATGAGGACTTGCCTGAGAAGACGGCGGTGGCGCTGGTGGACTTTTACAGGAGGAATGACAGGAGTGCGTTGGTGTTGCCGCCGAAGTGTCGGAGTTGTTGGCGCAGGGGAGGAGGGTTTAGGGTGGGGGTGGGGATGCGTAATCATGATGGGATGAAAGGGAATACATATGGGGTTGTGTGATGTGAATATGGAAACCATTGCGGAAAGTTCATAATTTGTTCATCGGTTTGGTTACTGTTCAAAGTCCGTGGATTTGTCCATCTCCACGAGGCAAGAGATCAAACGCTAAACCGTATCTATATTTTCCTTTCCATATGCTGCCTGCCCGTCTATTTTGTATATCTACCAACCATGCTCGCCCATAACTCAAATATAATACAAGGGGTATATCCATCTCCAAATCACAACCAACTCAGTTTACGCTGCCTGAGCAAGAGCAGGCCCGTCCTGTTGGGCAACTGGCTCAGCAACCACCACCACCTTCTCTTTCTTGACCTCCTTTGCTCCATCAACCTCATCCTCACTCTTCCTCTTCTTCTCATTCTTCCCCTTCACCTGCTGCTGCTGCCCCTTCTTCCCCTTGCCCTCCTTCTTTGGCGCCCACTCCCCCAACCTCAATACCTCATCCGTCCTCCTCGCCATCTCCACCATCTCCTCAAACCCCATCACCTTAACCAACTCCTCATAACTCTTCCCCTGCGCGCACATGGTCTTATAAACCGGCTCCCGCCCCGGCACAATCTGACTGAGCGTAAACTTGGTATTACTCATCTTATTCTCCACCTCCATCGCAAACCTCACCAGCTCCCTCGCATATTGCTCCCACGTTGTCTTCTCCTCCCCCTCCTTCAAAAACACATTCGGATTCTTCTCCGCCGCCGTCGCAATCATCGCCCCGTCCACCCTGAACTCCTCCATGAGCTTATACCCATCCCGCCTGTCCGCCACATCCCCATTCACCACGCACGCCACCCCCGCCTCGCGACAGATGTACCCAATCATCCTCAACTGCCCCCTTATCGCCCGTTCCCTCGGTCGCATAGGCGTAGTCCGGCAGTGGATCGTCAACCCCGTGATCCCCGTCCCCACCAACCTCCTAACCAACGCCTCCGTCTTCTCCGGTGTCTCCAGCAATCTAATCTTCACCGAGACCCCAATCCCAAATTCGGGGATGATATGCCTCGTCAGATTCTCCAGGATGGCAACAAGCTTATCCGGCGTCTGCAACAGCGCAGCGCCCATCCCGCCCGAGGTAGAGAAAGGTTTTGGACAGCCGGCGTTGACGTCTATCCCAGCCACATCCCCCGCCACCAGCCTCGCCGCCGCGAGCGCTCTATCCGGGTCAGAGGTTCCAATCTGGAAGACCAGCTTTCCCTTTTCTCTTGTTGGGTCAAGCCGGAAGATGACGTTCTCGTCGTAACCGGCTTTGTTGTGGGCTTGGGAGGGGGGGCGGGTCCATTCGATGCAGGAGGTTCGGGGGTTGGTTCGCCGGGTGGTGCCGATGAGGGAGTGGTCGACTGTTTCTGGGCCTGTTTTATCAATCACACCTTGTTAGCAAAGAAATGTAAAGAAAGGAAGGGAGAGGGAACATACCCCATACTAAATCAGCCCCGTACTTGAGCGCCAGCAACCTGGCCGGCAGCTCCCCCGATCGTACCATTGGCGCGAGAACAATCTTGCCTCTGTAGTCGACGCCGTTGGGGGGGATGGGCACCCTCCTTGCGAGGACCTCTTCGGGAAGGGAGGAGATGCACCATTTTACTGTGTTCTCTGCCGCGGCGGCTTCTTCGGGGGTGCGCCCGACAGCATTGGCGGGAGATGTGGTTTCTTGGATGGTGACAGCTGGTTCGGTTGGTGGCATGGCAACCTCTGCCGCCGTCGAAGCCATCGTTCGAAGGGGGTTCGACGTCCTGATCGCAAATGTAGTAGTAGTGGGGGCAGCGGCGGTAACTCTTGCAACAGCGGGAACGGAAACGGTTGGCAGCAGTCGAGACAGGATCCGTGAGTGGTGGCTGAGTGACCTGAAAGCCATCGACTAGCTAGCTAGCTGGTGCGATCAGTCGGCGGGCTGATCAAGAAGGAGGAAGGTTTGCGACCAGAGAGGAAAAATAACTTTTTGGCTGGCTGGCGAATCGATCCAATTGCGCGCGCTGGTGTGCAGCTCAAAGGTGGGATGAAATTCCTTATCTTATCGGTAAAAAGTGAAGCTGTGCTGAGTGTACAACAACCCTAACCCTTTTTAAGTTCTTGGAACGAATAGGGGGTTCGCTGCCATGACAACCACTAATCTGAAATCGGTGGGACAAATATCGCAAAAGAGGACCGATGGTTCTTAGTCGATGTCATTGTACTCACTGTGATCTTTCATTCTGTAATACAAGTATTACCACATGGCGAAAAGCTTGAGCGGTTTATTGTCCCCGAGGTCAATCTTAAAGAAAAACAAATCCGCACCATGGTGTTGGGATTACGCTCAGTCTGATCCCGATTTCGCTGGTAACCTTGCCGCGAATATATATCCTCAAACCTGAGATAGACTCCGGTACGTACGGATACCACCGTGTCCGTGGAACTGGCTTCCCCCTCAGATCAGAAGCAGGTGACCCAAGCACTGCCACTTGGAACTGTTCTGTGAGCCTACTGCCCCGAAAGATTCCCATGGAGATTAGCCATGGCAGAATGACAATTCCAATATCCAATCTGATGTGAACATTCCTTCCTCACAGTATCACAATCCAGTGTCATCACATTTGTCACTGAGAATATTCTTCTCACTTGGGTCAAGATACTGGCGGCGACATCACAGCACAAAACCCCCCCAGCAAAATTACCAAGTGCCATAGTCATCCATCATTGGACATCCGAGGGAGAGATCTATCTATCTAGACGCAGCCTCGTATGATGAGAATCCCATCCCACCAACCTTGGACAGCTGACTTACCTGCACGAAGGGATCGACCCTGACTTTCCCCCCCGATCTGTATCACCGCATGTGGTGCATCCCAACCCCTCACGTTGCGGTATCACGTAAATCGAGACATGTACACAGACGAGCCTTGGTGCTGGGAAAGGGGCTTTCCTACCTGCAGCCAGCCGAAACTATTCAAGGATGGGGTATGAAATCCAAGGCCGAGCGGGTATGGGCCGATGCCAGCGTGCTGATTGAGAAGTTGAATACCTCCAAAAAAAACCAGCAGTGCACTTTTACTTGAGAACTACGCGGCATGTCAGGCGACCTATGCTGAGGCCTGAATAGACATTTTGACGGCCAGCCTATTGGATGCCGGGAACCGGATATAGCCCCCACGTCGCCATAGGCAGCATACAAGGTGAGGCTGTACGGCGGGCTGAGCTGTAGGCTTGAGGAGAGACACGCAAGAAAACAGGCTTTGCTTTCAAGATATCAGTGAATCTCCCATCCGTCAAAAACTACTTCCAAATAATAACTTTTGCACATGCATACCTTACCACCGTAGCCTGTTCTCAATTCTTCGAAGCAAGAGCACTGTTGAAACATTTGCGCGAGAAAGAAGAGGAACAAAAGGACAACACAAAGCTCGTTGATGATGCCACAACAGATACCTTGGGTGATATAATCACAGCTGAAACGGTCAGTTTCGACACTTCGACTGTTGCAGACATCCACTTTCCAGGCAGGAGCTACCAAGACCCCGTTTCAAGCTTACCAGCCGTGTTCCCATGGTACAACCCGACACCATGTGAAAAGTGCGATGAGAAGATGATGACTACAAGAAAGGACACTGGCAGTACAGCAGATGCTCACTCCGAAGACCAAGCATATATAACCGACCATGTGAGTCTGAAATGTGCATTTGATACATAAACCTCCTTGGATGTCACACCATTGTTGGTAGCTAGGCTGACACCAAATAGTGTGTGTTTTCGATATGCAATATGCCTTCTTCGTAACGATGGGTGGGCTCACAGTGAGGCATCAAGAAAGCGACATAGATGAAGGGCACAAAATGCGCACATGTATCATCTCTGCCCATCTTGCAAAGGAGGTAGCAGATCAAGATGTCAAAGCACTGATGCTGCCAAGGTCCTTCATAATGTATCAGAGCAAGGCGGACTTCTTCAAGAAATCGCTGGTTGTTATCCAAGTTAGTTGGGTGATTATTGAGTGTGCTGCGCGCAAGGTATATGGCTTACCACTCAGTCTGTTGGAGCTGCACATTATGGTACATGTGGTTTGTGCAATTTTGATGTATGCCTTTTGGTTTAATGTAAGTCATCTTCGACCCCATGACGAAGGTACCATTATTGGCTGCCCGTGTAGCCCTTGTGGCTGTACTCAGATTGCTTATCTGTGATCAGAAACCCCTTGACCTCCAAGGCTCCTACGAAGTCAAAGACCGAAACGCCATGAAAACTATCACCAAAGTGGCCAAAGAAACAGACTCGCTTTTCTATAGAAACCATGGCAATATTCTCAACTTTCAGCACAAACTCGTACCCAAAGACCCCTTCGACTTCCTCCTCGAAGCCCTGGCCTATGTCTATCATCACAAGTTAGCAGTATTTAGCTCTCTCGTCCTACCTGTGGCCTACGGCGGTGTCCATCTTTCGGCTTGGAACTTCGAATTTCCCACTGTTCAAGAGGCCGTTATCTGGAAGGTGTCCTCCATTATCATCGCATCTACTGGACCAGCTCTGATATTGGCCACACTCTTTGCAGCCGCTTTTTCTTGGCTGATTCTCGGTGTGATTTCATGTGTCTTTGGAAGGAGCTGGTGCGACGAACCAGAGCATTACGACTCGGATGAGGAAGTCGCAGTGTTGGGCCAGGCGGTTATGCCCCTTCTCATCACTCCTTTCATAATCGGTATCACCATGCTAATTGTGATGCTGGCCGCCCGCGTGTTTTTGGTAGTGGAGGTCTTCATCAGTTTACGGGCCGCACCTCTAGGTGTGTTTTACAGTCCTGCTTGGGTTGAAATGTTACCGCATGTATGACAGACAAAGGCGATATTTTGGGTCTTGGGTCTGGTAATAGTAATGGTTCCTTGGAGTAGTCGCTTGCAACTGGATACCTGAACGGCCTTAGAAGTCTGATAACCCCCCTCCTTCCTACCAATCCCTGCATGCAAGATCCCATCCTGCCACAAGCAATCCAGACCTCGAAACAGTTGTCTCGGGAAGTCTCGGTCTGAGAAGAAAAAAAGGCCCAGACACAAAGAATGTCTCTCAGTTCCCTGGAGGTGCCGGCTGTCCGACCACCCGACTTGGCGGTTGCCACCGCCGGTTCATGGATCCGGCCTTGTCTTCCACAATAATCCCGGCTCCCGGCCCCGGTCCACGTGTTGATGTAGACCCGGCTGCCTCCTTCTGAATTCATGTCGAACATTTTTACTAAAGCCGGTGGTGAGCGGGCGGTTTGCATTGCCATTTTCGTTCGTCGGTTACTCCATGTGCAGATCAATGCACGTAGGCAACTTCTCCTCCGTTGTCTGTGGACAACCGAGCCATGTCGGACCCCACGTGGGGTATCGAACAGAGCTACTGTGTGGTCGTTCATGGCCCTTCATCAGAGATATAAAACGCACCAGACGGTCAATCCTTTTCCCTTCCGCTTGCTAAGTGGAATATGGGTGCCGCCATTGGCCGTCCTCCACCTCTGTCAACACCCCGGAACGGTTGATCAGATCCAGAGGACATTCACTGTGATGTCTTGATCACGTGCCAGAGGTTTTGGTAGAAGGGATATCGGATATGGCCGTGATTCGTCCGGTGTTAACCCCTATACGAGCAAAGAACTGCCTGGTCCAGGGACGGATTCCAGCTGCGGTGAGAGAACGACAGTATAATGGGCTTGACGGGATGTCAGCCCCTTGCCGATCGGCTGGTTCATCCGACAGACATGCTTGGGATTCTCCAAGGAGCTTTTGTTTCACCTTTTCAGGACTTTCAGGTCTCAACAGCTGTGGGCATCAGGTGATATGTGGACTTACCAAGCAAAGAATGAGACAGTTTTATGTGTGCCATGGACCATGGACATGCTGCTTGGCAAGCGTTTTTCAACAAATAACAGTGCGATCTCAGCTGTCATTATAGGGGCCATAAAGCCATTGACGTTGCTTGAGCCACATGGCTCTTTTACCTTTCGTTTTTTGGGATTTTTGTTGTCAGGGTTGGCGGTAAGGGTCTAGCAAGGAGACAAAAGAATGGGATGGCAATGCGCCTCAGGCAAACTCCCCATGTGCCCCATGACGTCAGTGGCTGAAGATAACTGATCAGTGCGGCCGCGGGGTTGGCGAACATTCGCTTCGAATGCTGCCCTGAAGATATTGACTTTGACTTGAAGCATCAGCTTGAGGAAGTGAAAAAAGATAGACTCACCAGGAGGAGATCGCTAGGAGCATGCAAATCCTTTCAGGGGTTTTGGCGGCCACGGACGGCTTGCCCCGTACATGGTGGGAAGCTGTCGGTCGACCCTGTCGATCAGATTGCCTTGGAAAGCTGCTTGGTTGCTGGAATAGGTATGGGAATGTTTTCTGAATGCGAAACGAAACGACGGATAATATTCGGAATTGAGTAATGGATGGTGTGGGATATCGCCGCAGTGATGCTAGGATGGAGATGTGAGACTCTCACGGACCTTCAAGCGTCAAACCAATGAGCTCTGAAGCATGAGAACCATGTGCCGGCCTTCATTTGGAACGCTGCATTTCCGTGTGACGATGTGGGCGAAGAAGACACAGGCTTGAAGCGCCCAAAAGATAGAGCCACAGCGAGACACGCCTGTGTCTGGAGCCCCGCAGTGGCGTCCGAAGCAAGCGAGAACTCATCAGGCGAAAAAAAAGGCCGCTCGAGCTTTCGCGCTTTCCCATCAGGCACTCAGAGAAAATGCATGTTGCCTGAGGCCCTACCGCGCACCATCTGCAACCCCCGAGCGGGGAAGCTCACACGGCACAGCTGCATGTCTCTAGCAACGGAGCACTCACCTCTCTTTGGACAAGCACCACCTGCACCACCAAGACAGAAGGGGGGGGGGGGGGGGGTAGGGAGGCG